TACCTTGCCATGATATCGAACGTGGCTCGCATATCAGCCGGGTGGTTCAGAGATACCTGGCTTTTGATCAGCATGTCGTCGACGTATGCCTCCATGGTCTTTCCCAGTAGTGGCTTGAAGAGCTTGTTCACCATGCGCTGGTAGGTTGCCCCCGAGTTCTTCAAGCCAAACGCCATTACCCGGTAGCAGTAGGTTCCTTTGGGTGTGAGGAATGATGTCTTCTCTTCATCTTCCTTGGCCATGTAGATTTGGTGGTAACCCTTGAAGGCATCCATGAAACTTAGGAGTTCGCACCCCGCAGTTTCGTCCACCATTTGATCTGGACTGGGGAGGGGGTATGAATCCATCGGACAAGCCATGTTCAAGTCCGTATAATCCACACACATTCTCCACGTGTCGCCCTTGGGAGCAAGGACAACGTTGGCCAGCCAATCCGGGTACTTGACTTCCCGGATGTGACCAACACTGAGGAGGTCTTTCACTTCCTTCTTGACGAAGTCTCGCCAGTCACTGGCCAGGTACCGCTTCTTTTGGCGTACCGGTCGACTTCCTTCCCTCACGGCCAACCGGTGGCAGATAACAGAGCGATCTATCCCGGGCATATCCGCCACGCTCCATGCGAATATGCCCGCGTACTCTTGGAGGACCCGTGTAATCTGCTCCTTGAGATCCTTGGGGAGATTTGCTCCAATTCTGACCATCCTCGAAGAATCACTCGGGTGAAGTTCGATTTCCACCGTTTCAGCCTCGGGCTCCAGTTTCTCCCGGGTCTCTCCTTTTGTGATCTCTTGGGAGATGACATTGACCCCCCTGGTCATTTTCTTGACTGCCCGGGCATAGCACTCCCGGGCGTTCCTCTGGTCGCCCTTCACCTTACCCACACCACCTGGAGTGTGGAACTTCATGCATAGATGAGGCATGGAAATCACCGCCCCAACTTTATTGATGCCTGGCCTTCCTAGGATTGCGTTGTGGACGCATTTGATGTCCACAACTATGAACCGCACCTTCTTCCACACGGTCTTTTCACCTGATCCTAGTTCGACCGGTAGAACTATGGATCCTTCAGCTTCAACGGTATCCCTCGTGAAGCCTGAGAGAGGGGTTTTGAGGGGTTCAAGTTGTGTTCGACACAACCTGAGTTTTTGGAAGGTCTCCAGGTATAAGATGTTGACACTGCTGCCGGTGTCAACAAGTACCCGGGCGACATCTACCCCATTAATGTCCATGGTGATGACCAATGGATCATTGTGATCTTCACCGGTAGGAGGGAGATCCCGGTCA